AAGACTTCAACAAGAGCATTGGCACTGGTGAAATCCTTGAAGAATGGTTGCACAGCTGGTTGATACCAATCCCCAAACCAGGAAAATACCACTCGGCTCTCAGTGGTTACAGGATGATAGCCATGCAGAACACCTATAGGAAAATTCTGGAAAAGATAGTTGCCGGACGAATATCAGCACACTTAGAAAGGAAGTCCCTGTTGCCAAATGAGCTTGGCAGCTATAGTACCCATCGAGAAACTGCAGTGAATGCGGCTGTCATGGTGTATGACATCTATGAAGGCTTTCAGCAGCGGAAGGAAACAGTTGTGAGGACACTTGACCTTGAGGATGCTTACAACCGAGTCGACTATGAACGTTTGATCGACCGCCTCCTGGAATTTGATGTAGACATATGGCTGGTGAGATGGGTAGCAGTAGCCCTGGTGGAGAGAAAAATAGCCCTGAGACAGGGTGAATGGACTTCAGACCAGGTGTCAATTGCTCCAGGACTGCCCCAAGGATCTCCCCTCTCTCCTGTGCTTTTCAATGTGTACACTGCACAGGTAACGATGCACCAGAAGCGGTTGACATAATGGCATACGAGCACGGAGATGACAGACTTCAGATGGCAAGGAACATGGAGAAAAGACTTCACTCAGTTGTAAAATGGTGCGACCAAAATGAAGCAGTTATCAGTCCTTCAAAGGCACAGGTACTTTGGTGTTCCCTCGAAAACAGGATTGTCCAAGACATAACTCCACCAATCTCTAGTAACTATGAGACTATTGACAGACGGTCAGAGCTGAAGTATCTGGGAATCGTCTTCGACAGGTCGTTGTCCTTCGACAAGCATGTGAATCATGTGGTAACAAAGGCCAAACGAGGTGTTGGTGCAATCAAGACCATGGCGGCCGCCCTGATTCCGCAAAGAATGCTCTTCCTGACGTTACGGCCGGTCGTCCTGTCTGTCATTGATTACGGTTTGGGTTGTCTCACGCTGTCCGACACACAGATTGCAAAGCTGGATCGAGTGCAGAATGACTTGCTAGGTTTAAGTGGCATCAGAGTACGCCATAGGATAGCTCAGGCAAAGATGTATATGTAAAGGGCAAGAAGGATCATCCACTTCATAAAGCACTTCATGGCAACAAGAGAGGCAGAATGAAAAGCGAAAAATTTTGGATGGTGGAAGCAGAGGATTCGCTGAGAAAAATCTGTGTACCCGAGAGCCCACCACTAGGCGAAGAATGGGAAAAGGTGACAGGAGAATACAGGGACCTCACCAAGGTAAAAATAAGCATGGGCAGAGACAGAAGAAATGTTGCGGCTGCCATCAACGAGAGCGATATCAAAGAGATTGTTGACACAAACTCAAAAGAAGGGGATCCTATAATTTATACAGATGGTTCAGTGAAAAGAGATAGCCAGCGAAGTGGATGGGCATTTGTTGCATTCGTCAACAATAAAATCAGACACAGTGCATCTGGAGCCTGCAGCAGGGCTACATCAAGTATGCGAATGGAAATTGAAGCCATCACGAAAGCACTTGATTGGATGACCCAAGATCGCCCCACACAACCCATGCTGTTCTTATCACTGATTCCATGTGTACCCTCAGAAGGATCGAAAAAGGTTTCCAGAGAACAGAATGGATTCAAGCTATCGAACCAAAGCCTATACGATCACTCACATGGATTTTCTGCCCTACCCATGCAGGTGTTAGGGGAAATGAAAAAGCCGACAGATTGGCTGGTGAGGCCACCTTAGTTGACAATACAGTTCAACCAGATAGAGTCTGGAATCCTTGCAGGAAAGAACAGAAGAACGTTCAACAAGATGTGCACTGGCACAATCAGTGGAAGGACCCTCAGCAACATTTTGGAGAGAGCAACGGAGCACCAATGGACATGTCCGGAGAGCAGGGATGTTGCTTCCTGAAACAATGAACAATGAACAATGGACATAATCATCTGTTAGTTAGGAACAGAGGCTACGAAACTGCCATGGTTTTTGGGTAGTCTGGGGTGGAATGAACAAAACCGCCTTCGGGAGAATCACCAGATGGCTTGGTTTACTGGACTACATCCCACAAGTGCTGGAACGTCATGTCTTACCATTATTTTCGTCCTGGTGTCATTCAAGTAGACACCCCCATGCATAGCAAAACACTTTCTTACAGGGCCAACGCCACTAGACAATTCTTTGAAAACCGAATCAAATCAACGTTGGAGTGGTCATCTATGAATAGCCCCGATATGAACCTTACATGCACGTAAAGTCCCATGAAACAACAACTGAAGAAAGCCACTTTGCCTCCAATCCAGACCCTTTGTTGGCAACTCTCTGTGATTTTTGTGATGGAATGACAGAATGTCCAAAATTTAATAGAGTCGATGCCCAAAGGGTTTGTGCACTAAACAAAACAAATGGCTCCTAAGCAAAATAGCAACGAGCACACTAATCAATTATTGTTAAGTCCAAGCTGTGCATGGTATTTGTGACTGCTCTGTTTTCCGTTTTGTTTGAAGCTATGAACTAAAACATCGTAATGAAATATTGTTTATTGAAAAGGACAACATTTTCCATTCATTGGATATACAATGTGTGCCCATTCTATCAATATTGATGGTCCTCAATACACGCGCGAAGATAAATTTGCTTTTCTTTGACATTGAACAATTTTGCCAAGCCTCATTTTAAAAGGTCAATCTTAAGTGACCATATCTCAGGTGTTTCTTAACGTAGATTAATTATTAATGTACCATATGATGCAGAATTTATTTACCTTTAAATTGGTATGCTGCATGAATGGGTAGTGCAAAGCTTGAAAACAATTATTGAGTGATTGCATTTTCGAGTTTCTCTTGGGCGCCACTGTATTATACATCTTTTTTCTTTTTTTTTTTTAATTGTGGGAGCAACACAGCAGCAGCAGCATCAGCAGCAGCAGCAGCAACGACGACGACAACAATAACAACAACAACAACAACAACAACAACAACAACAAACAACAACAACAACATCAACAACTTTACGTGATAACTTAGTATTATCACCGTCATAAAATGCCAGGTCTGAAACAGACATCGACGATCATTGTTCTCCCTCCTCCCCC